TGTCCATATGTAGAAATGGACTAGCCCGTGCCTGGAAAACATACCCAGTAATCAAAATGAGTAACAACCATTGGCTTGTCTTCTAGGAATCTGTCTAGTCCTTAATTCTTCTAAACTAGCAGCCAAGGCCAGGATTGTGGCAGTATATTCCCCAAAGTAATTATATGCTGGATGAATAAATGCTTCCTCTCATCCATCTTAAATCTCCTACTCAGATTTATTATATGGCCTCCAGTTTTAATGTGGGGAATAGAATTCCCTGCTTCTTTCTTCCTTCCCTCCAATTTCATAGCAGAAACTCTGATCGGCTTAATAGTGCTATCCCACCTCATCTATACACTCCTTAAGCATAGGTCTGTCACTTTCCCATTCCCAACACAGATTTCCCCAGAATGCAAGTGACACGAGAATCATAATTAATCTCCACATGTTGGCTGAGGAACAGGATGTTATTCTTCCTTCTTGCTCCAACTATCATTCCTTTAACTCCTTGCTTGTTCTGCCAAACTGTCCAGCTAAGAAAGGGTCCTCATTGTCTCCAACTATTCTGAGTTACACCTATCATTTGTTCTCCCATTTATTTTATGTAATTGTATTATTGCATTTATATTCCTTCTTTTACTGAGAAGCACATCCCAAACCAATCAATCGAGTTGCTTATGCTGAGAGATAGCAACCCAGTAATTTCCACAGTTGTATTCTTACATCTAGGTCAACACTTTAATCACTACGTTATACTTCTCCGTTTGTTATTGCTTACTTTTCAGGTTACATATGAAATACATGGCCCAAAACAAAATACCCAGTATCATTCTCCCTTGCCCTTAGAATTCACATCTAAACTTTTGCTTACAGGAAAAAAATCTAGCTAGATCAGAAGAGAAAAACCAAAACATGACTGAAAGGGAAGAGGTGAGAAAGGGAAGATACTAATCAGTAGAACTCTTGCTTCAAATAAGATTGGCTACTATATGGATTCGGGGTCACATGTTTAAAGTAAATTTGAGTTTGAGAACAAAATAATAAAAAGGTGTAAGTAAATTAATTTCATGTTGCCTGTTCTTTAGAAAGCATAAGGGCCATAGAAATAATAATTAGAGCACCTACAAGATGCAAGGCTTTGGATGCCTTAGTCCAGTGATGGCGAACCTTTTAGAAACCGAGTGCCCAAAAACTGGCCCTGCCCCACCCCACCCCCTGCCCCGCTCCACCCCACCCTGCCTGCCTGCAAGGCCACTCACTGCCTCCAGGGCCCCCCGCAGATCGTCCAGGCAGCCCAGCAGCGCCATGGCAGCCATGCCCTCTGCCCGCGCCCCGCAGCATCAACTGTGTGTTTTGGGGCATAAGGGCAGAGTCTTGTCTACGCTGCCTGGCTGCCATGTCCTTGGCTGCGCTGCTCCGGCCATGCTCGGGGGCGACTCTCCTCCAGGGGGGTTGCTGGTGAGGAGGGGGTCACGGGCGGAGACAAGGATGGGGCAATGGCACATGTGCCCACAGAGAGGGCTCCGAGTGCCGCCTCTGGCACCCGTGCCATATGTTCACCACTACTGCCTTAGTCCAGGGATGTCAAACTCGCAATGTCACGTATCACGTCTTTTTTGCCATTGCTGGTAATGGGGTGGGCGCGGTTTTGCTATGATACATCCGGCCCGTGGGCTGGCAGTTTGACACCCTTGCCTTAGTCTATCCAGACACAGAACTTTAAAAATTAACTTGCAGTCAATCTCTGCATTTGAGGGAAAAGACTAGGGAACTGAAGTCTTTTCATTACTGTTGCCAATTATCCTGTGAACAGACAAATCCCAGCAATCATCAAAGGACCTTTCTGCCACTGCTGCTGATTGTCTCACTGGCCCATCCATCAAGAAACTGAGAATATATAATAATGTAAATCTGACTTCAAAATCGATTTCTGTTGTCTATGCATAAAGGACTGTTACAGGCAAGGGCAAGAGACTAAGTATGATTTCTTTTGAAGAATGCTTGTAAATTATGATATGTGGCCCACTTAATCCATAGCTAGCTTTAACAGTACTGCCTCTTACACTCTCCAAAATGTAAAGAGTTAAAATTGCAGAGGATCTATTATATTCTTTTGTGAAAACATCTTAGTCTGCTACAAACTGGGGGAAAAAATGAAACATCTAAATCCATGATCTTAGTTAATCTGTCATTTAGGAATTCTCCAATTTAATCAATGGGATTCTATGGACTTTACCAATCCTTTCAACAGAGTAAGCCCAGAGTCATAATTAAGGATGCTTGAGTTAAGAATAAACCCTATTAAATCTTGAAATGGACAGGCCTCTCCTGATTTAGAGGCCTTGGGAATTTACATGGGGCTTCAATTGATAAGCTAAGGAGAAAATGAATCTTGTGCTTTGATAGAATGCCTGCCTTTGTACTTTTCCCCCCAGTTCAAATACAATTCTACTATGTTGTGCTTCTGGAATAAATCATCTGACAGTTATTGGTTAGGCCAGTATGATGGCTTGGGATATTTGGCTGTGTGGTGAACAAGGTTGTTTGTAATCCAGCTTCTGGATGTCAAGGAAATTCAATCTATTGACAGGAATTAAATTCTTATTCAATGGATGGTTGACTATTTTGAAATAATAAACTAAGTAAGGGACAAAGCAACACTAAGATGTTTTTAGACCTGAATCTCTTCACACACAATAAAACTCAGTTCCAAATCACTTTCTGACAAGAAAATGCAAACACAATTAATATTGTGTTAAAGACAAAGTTTAGAAGTAGTAAAACATTCTCTTTAACCTAGAAATTTAACTTCAGTTATCTTTTCCAGAAGTTTCTTAAACACCTTAATTTAATATAAAAGTAGTATCATTAAGTTAATAGAATTTCTGATACCATCAGACAGGATATAGACCCCTGCAAACTGTTGTTCTATTCACTGCAACTACCAGCGTTGATTAGAAAATAAAGCTTAACAAAGCAGGTAGACAAATTCAATTACTGAGACTAATTATGGCAATATTTCTACTTTTAAAAAATCTTTAGCCACAATTATAGTCCCCCGTGATAGCACACAGCATTATATAGTAATCGCTTACAACATCTTTGCTGGCTGGAGTACTCATTTGAGTAGAGATATAGAACAAAAAATCAAGCCAAACAGCAAGTAAGCAAACAAAAACAAGGCAATATCAAATAGTCATTAAATCACATTAAATATGAACATTTTCAGTCAGCCAGTTAACATTGAAATAGTTTTATAATGCCTATCATCAGCAAGTACCATTAAAACCGTCAGTTCAAAGCCATTGTAAACTGTTTGTTTATACTGATGTGCTGTCAACAATCCAAAAGGACTCTGGCCTATTTATATTCCCCTCTTATGCTAATAAGGTTAAAAAATCAAAATGAATAACATGACAAAATACAAAAACACTGGCACCAGAAACTATCAAGCATTAAAACAAGCTCTCAATGGACCTCATTACTCACAGCCATTCCATTCCCAAAGTTCTCTTCAAAATCATGCTTTAACAGTTATCCTAAAGCCTAACAAGGCAGGACATAATCTGTTTTTTAAAGGGAAGACTGAGAAGGCTTGATCCCATGGCCTCCAAAGATGACAATCCTCAATAGAAGAGACAGAGTTCTCTGCCCTCAAATTGTTCATCTGTTCCAAGAGAAATCCAAGTCTAGTGTGTTAGCTTCTACAAGTTGGAGCCAAAATGATCTGAAAAGTGTCCAGGGTTGACATGGTGACCATGAATTTATTTATTTATTTATTTATTAAATTTATATACCGCCCTATCTCCCTTACGGGACTCAGGGCGGTGAACAGGCGATACTAAAAACCACAATAATAAATAAATAGTTTCTGTTCTAAAATCGAATTAAATAACAGGCCTGTTCTAAAAACACACCCATACAAAAAACCCCACTGAAACATAATCAAACTACGCCAGGCCAGCCGCACGGAATAGATGGGCCTTCAGGGCTCGGCGAAATTATAGAGTCTACTCCCAGAGATGGCAGATAGAAGCAACTAATGTCTCGTAAGCTCCAATACCATTCTGCAATGAAAGCAATATCTACTTGTACCAAACTTCAATAATGCCTCAAATCTGCTTATCTTCCTTATCTACCTCTGGCCACTTGTAGAGAGAATTGCCATTTTGCATCCCTGGCCTTGAACTCACAGCTAGAGCCATACCCAGAATTCATAAGGCTACATTTTAGAAAGGGGACATTCCCTTATTTCTCAACCAGGTTTGCTAATGCAAATTAGGTGTTCCCGCTAATCACAATTAGGTTAGGGATAAAGAGAGATACCTAAAGGGCAGGCCTGACATTACGCAGTTGCAGCTGCTGTGAAAGGCCTCAAAGAACTCGATAACCTGAGGAAAGCAGAAAGAGGCAGGAATTGGGGAAGCAGGCATAGGTGAAATAAAAACCCCATCTCTTGAGAGTAATTCCATAAGTGTTTTACTTAGTATTTGATAAGATTCTATTAAATATGACAGTAATAGCCTACATCACTGCCATCATCACATCTCCAGAAAAACATTGCTAGCTAGTACAAAGTATACAAAGATACTATTAGCTTGTTGTATAGACATAACAAAGACTCAAGTGGCTATGTTTAATATAAACTAAAGTTTTTAGGTGTAACCTCAGGTACAGCAATTGTATAGTGGACCAGACTGGTTATAACTTTCCTTAAATGGGTTCAGACCTCAGAACTTTTCAAGCCAAAGATAACAAAGGTGTTCCTGGCTACTGTTGCAACCCTTTGCTTCCACAGACAGCAGTGAGTCCAAATAGATATTCAACAGATTTTTTGGGAGGAGTGCAACTCTACTCCATTTTTTTTATTTATATGGACAGATACCTCCACCCAAAGCATTTCTGTCTTGCCTAATTATATGACCAATATAGGGAAGGACATCTGAAAATGAATGGTGCTTTTTAAAAATCCCATGCATTTTATTCTAACGTAATTATGAGAACAAATACCAACTTACTTAATATAGTATGGAACGCTGTTATGAGACACTGATCTCTGCCACGGTAGTTGTACAGAGGCTATAGAAATAAAAAAAATTGGAAATAAATAAACCAAGAAAGTGTTAATTTATTATTTACAAATAGGCATACTTGCACAAAGAGGCTGAATGAGAAGAAATATTCCAAACTCTGGGAGTAAATTCTCCTGAACAGTTTTTTTTTTTAGCATTCATCCTCAAAATCAACACTAATCATGTTAAATAATCACCAGTTTAAAACAATTGCTGATGAAGAACCACTTATTTAGAAGAGAACTTGATCCATTCCAATCCACTTAATAATGAACAGGCCCAGTATACCACGTAATTACCTACCCTTTGGTTTGGGAACTTTCCCTTTTCTTTTATGAATCTTTGCTTGCAAAATTGTGAGTGCATACATTGATTCTACTTTAAAAATATATCTTTCTAGAATATTTTTCAGTTAGTTTTTATTTCTTGACACATACACCCAATTCCCATAGTTGTTTCAAGTACTTGAGGACAGAACTATGAACATTTTGTAAAACTGTGAAAAGGTCACTCTAGGACTGTAGTTTTTAATCAAGATTTAATATTATGTCCAAAGTCATATATTAACTCTATATCATCTTTTGTTTCCTGTCCAGGGCTTGTAAATCTGCTTCCGATATTGGCTAAGCACAATTTAATTGTAATTCTAAACTGTCATTCTGTGAGAACTGTCTTTCTGAAAATTTCTCTGAAAGGATCTTCCATACGTGACAATCATTTTGTTCTATATTTTCCTCGAAGGCCAGTTATTAAAATATAAGCATATTTGGGATAAAAAGAAAATTAAGAACCTTTGAAGTACTTCATTGATCTACCATTAGAGTCCTCATTAACCAATTTCATTAATACTTACTGGAAAGAAAATCTTGAGATTCAGGTTCATAATCATGGTGTATTTCTTGTAGTAATTTAATGCGATCATCTACCGATATCTGCATATAAAAATACAAACAAGGAAAAGCAGTAATAAGCTTTCAACTGATCATACCAAGCCAATACATACAGCCAACAAGACAAACAGTGGTTTATGATTCATTTTTGCAAACAGAGTTTAAAGAGTAAATATTCTCTCCTCCTAAATCTTCTTCCATTTATAATGTTTAAATAGAAGCTAGTAATGATTCTTCTGTAAGCAAAGCAAATCAATATCAAATAAAGGCCTTCTTAGTGTCTAATACTGTCTACTGAAATGTTCACTTCTTCCCTTGTCTAAGTTTCTGCAGTCAACATGCTTTATTTTGATTGTATTGATCTTTACAAGAAACCATATTGGAATATGCTGCTTAGTGATTGACCTTATGGGTCAACATTCTCCTGGTCTGCCAATTAAGCTGGATGAACGTATACAAAACTACTCAGTCAAATCTTGTAAGGTATAACAAGTGTTTCTAGCCCTTCAAATTAGATTGAAATGGAAGAAAAATATGTTTAGAAATTCCTCAGAACAAGGGCTTAATCATGATTTTTTGTAAACAGCTCTATCAGTTATTTTCTAACTAAAGACCTCCTGTGGGCTCTAATGAAATCCAAAATATTTTACATGGCACCTAATAGTCTTCTCAAATGGCTTTAAAGGCTATTCTAATGAAGCATTAGCACAGTGTTTCTCAACCTTGACAATTTTAAGGCATGTGGACTTCAACTCCCAGAATTCCACAGCCAGTAATGCTGGCTTTGGAATTCTGGGAGTTGAAGTCCACATGCCTTAAAATTGTCAAGGTTGAGAAACACTGCATTAGCATAATAGTAACACAATATTTCAGAAGCAGTATGGTGTAGTTTAAGATGCTGGACTGACACTCGGGGCTTAGGTTCAAGTTCATCCTTAGCCATAGAAACTTACTGGGTCACCTTGGGTCACTGACTATCCCTCAGCCCAACCACATTACAGGGTGGTTGTTGTGGGAAAAATGGAAATGGAAATGGAAATGCCTTGAGATGAAGGAAAGATAGGTTCTAAATTTAACAAATACACAGTACAAAGGAAAGACCAGCCTCAAGTATTATCTGTATTTTAAATAATGCATTTGGATCCCACATTGTTTAGCTATATTATTTATACCTAAAAGATTGGTTACTTCCATATTAAAGAATGTGTCGGTGCCACCAAGTAGATCAGACCATGAAATCAACTTTACAAGGAGGCTAAAACTACTTTTATTGAGATAGGCTATAGTAGCAGGTCAGAAAAGTCTGGTTTTGGTGTACCTCCTCTTCCTTTTTTATAGTTCAGCGAATGAAGGAAATGTCTGGACATTCTGGACTTATCATTTAATCCTTGTGGCTTGATAACAGAATCTGTGTATCTCCATCAAGCTAATATTCCTTACTGTCTACCCAAATCATATATTGAGTCATTTTGATATTCAGTGAAACTTCAATTTGGCAGATATAATCTGAGGGAATTATGTTGTATTTACATCATCTTATGACATTTGTGTAGTGACATGACTGTGATAAGGCTGTAAATTGTGGTCATTTATCAATAATATTGTCAGAGGATTTTCTCCCTGATGTGGATAATGTGGAATCAGTAACAGGGGCTGCCACAAAGAAGAGGGAGTCAAGCTATTTTCCAAAGCGCCTGAAGGCAGGACAAGGAGCAACCAAAGAGAGAAGCAACCTAGAACTAAGGAGAAACTTCCTGACGGTTAGAACAATTAACCAGTGGAACAACCTGCCTCCAGAAGCGATGAATGCGCCAACACTGGAAGTTTTTAAGAAGAAACTAGACAGCCATTTGTCCGAAATGGTATAGGGTTTCCTGCCTGAGCAGGGGGTTGGACTAGATGACCTCCAAGGTCCCTTCCAACTTTATCACTATTATTACTTTCATAGTTCTCCCTAACACTTAGCCAATGAAAGCTACCTGTAAAAGTTTCCATCGCATGTTCAGATCATCCAGCTGTCGTGTGACTTTCAAGGATGGATGAAGATCAAGTGGAGAGAGCTGACCAGATAAGTCATTGATGCATTTGATTTTCAAGCTGATTGGTGAAATTTCTTCTCTAAAGGCCTGGAAGAGGGAATACACCGCTGCTTTTAGTAAAAATCTTGAAGAGCAAAAATACAATCTCTAAATGATACATGTAAGTGTCCTCCTTCATTTTCATTCTTTCACTATCTCTCCTGACTTTCCTTAAACACATTACATGTTACTGTGAGTATATAAAAAAAAAAACCATGAATTTACCAGGAAACAAAAAGCCACTGAATAAATAGTGAAAATGAGAAAGAAAAGCAAAGATACTTAGTAAACATTATCTTCAAATTCAATAATAAGTATTAGAACTTAAGTAATTTGGGTTTCATTACCTTTATATCACATCAATAAAACATAAAAATGAAATCTGCTAAAAGCCAGATAATTCTACAAAATTGATACAATTTTCCAACTTCATGCTGTTTTCCCCAAGAATTACTAGATCAATTTCAACATCAATGTTGATTTTGTTAATAGATGAAATAATCCTCAACAGTTTATACTATTTGAACAAATAGAAAACATAAGTTTCCCTTTACAGTTCTTTATGCAAATACTATTAAGATATGAACAATTACCTCTTGCAGGCAGAAAAAACAAGAAATATTCCCACTAGAACACAAAAGCATTCTTTTATGTTTGTATTCAAACGAAAAAAAAGGAAAGATGGATATTTTATGCTTAAATCAACATATTTAAATCTGCTTTGATTTACTTCTAAGGCAACAGAAATTGTGTTTCATTAAATTTAGCTTAATCTTTATTTGAAAGCAAAAACAAACCTCTGGCAGAGTGTTGTTGTGTTTATGTATAATGCACCATTACTCATAAATAGTCTAATTTGTTATTTTCTAGATAATCCTTGGATATACAGGCAAAAGGCTTCTAAGTCTAATGCTAAAATGCTCATTGACTTCAGAAAGACATAAATTCTTAGGTGCTCTACTATTAGTTGTTATAGTCTGGAATTCCTAGACTTGTAGCAGAATGGTCTATGATAGAAAGTACTGGGAATTCAAAGGCATTAAGGGGGATAGATTCATTTTGTTTTGTGGGAAGGTAATTGTATGAATATTCCAGCTTATAACTGCACTTACAGTCAACCTTTCCCCTCAAAAGAAAAAGAGAGAGCAAAATATATTTTAAGAACAATTTCAGCTATCCAATTAAAACAATGCACTCACAGAACAGGGCTAAATAATTTAAATATCACCTCACTGCATAATTAAAATATCCCTTCACAAATAACACAATTGTAGCACCCCCATCTGTACTGTGGACAGGTGGAGGTGACATGAGATTGGTCTTTGCAGTCCAACTTGACAATGGGATTTAATTAATTAACCGTTATGGTTAGGGTGCTTAATATTCAGGGCATAGAGAGAGTTCTGAGTTCCTTAGAGTTTTCTCCATCTCCCTCTAGTTATGTTGCTCTCATTATATACATTACTACAAACCTATGCCTCCTGCTGTTATTTTACTGCTGTAGTAATAAAATAATTGTAATGAACTGTTGCACATTCCCAATGAAACGTATGAAGCAGGAATAATACAACTATTTTACTGATAAGAGTTTTCTATTCTGGATCCAGCTGGGCACTGGATTATGACTTCCTGAATACCACTGTACAGTTTCCATAGCCAAAATCTAAACATCAGCTGGCAATGCACTTAAACTAGCACTGGGATCTTACGGTTGTCTTATCAACTTCATCCTGCAATGAGGCCATCAGCCTGTCTCCAACAGGTTTCCAACTGTTTCGCACATTCTCTGCCTCTCTCAAGTCTGCATCCAGGTCATCCATGGAACACTGCAGGTCCTTCAGTTTTTCTAGTGCTTGATCTATCTGTTTCTGCCAACCACTGGCACAGGTATTCAGGCTTTCCCACTTCTCCTTCACTTCCGCAGACTGCTTGCGCATAGCTTTAGCAATCTTCTGTGCTTTTTCTTCAGGGGTCAACTCTGAAAATAGAAAAAAAATGTTCAGTGGAAGGAATAGGGATTAATAGAATGTGGACAAGAAATATTGCTGCTTTCAAAATACACTTGCTGCCAAGGATGATTAACGATGGACTTCCATTCCCATCTGTAGTAAGTGGTGTGTTTTGAGGTGATTCAAATTAATAGAGAAAGAGGCTGAAACAATGTTCAAATGAAGGCAAATGCTGGATTTTATTCCTAACAAAGTGTCAACAAAAGCTGGGTTGTAAAAAGGAAAAGGCTAACTTTGGAGAACTTGATAAATAATTGCAATGTTACTATAGTGCTATTGCAATGCTGAGAACAATTGATACCTGATTAATAAAATAGTATTTTTATGTCATCAATATGAAAATAGCTTCCAGGGCAAGAATATAATTAACTTACAAGATCTATTGAATAAGATATAAATAATACCTGTGATATTAACATTTAAGAGCCTTTGATACAAAACAATTTAAAATAGTTGATCTGTGGATGATTAATATCATGAACAGGGGGAAAAGCATCCTATGAATACAGCAATTGTAAAGATGTTATCTAGGATCAGGTCTAGGAACAACACTGCAGACTTCTTAATATTGTCCATAAAAAGGCAAGGAAGCACTAGAAAAACATAATTTGTTTTAGACTTTGGCTTCAAATCAGACTCATATCAGGTTGTCTGTTTTCTTCTCCTTTGAGGAGTTGTTCCTGGAAAAATCCATTAAATCCAGGGTGAGATTTTAGCCCCAATAGCACTGTAATCAACAGCCTGTAGATCTCCAAGTGTTTTCAAACTACGAATCTCAGCAGCCTCATTAATTAGGGCCAAAGGTAAAGGAATCTGGGAACTATAATTTATTACTATTTGGAAGGCCACAGTTTCCCCAGTTTTACTGTGTTTTCTTCTCAAAATATGCATGTGACACTACTAGATATTTGGGGACACAATCAATTAAGTTATGGAATAAATTACAAAATATTTTCATTAAAAAGTTCAGGCTGTACACTTTCAACCTATGGAAATTGAATGAAACAAGTTCTTTGATTTCAAATCAGCACTATATTTAAAATATAATGAAAAACACACTAATAATTCATAGTACATATACTCAACAGGCATAAGCTTTACCTGAAAATTATAAATACCTGTTTTGAAAACAATTAGAAGCCACTTAGATATAATAGCTTTTTCATTTGCCAGAGAAGAAAATTGTGATGAGGTTTAGGTTCACGTCTCCAAGAAAACAGAATGCAATATGGTGTTATTATTGATGTATTTTTCCTTTGGAATTTTGTCATACTGCAAAATAATTGTAATTATAATTTACCTCCATCATCGTCATCATCATTAATCATCTCTGCAAGCTGAACAGATTACTTGTTTTGGAAACTCTAAAACTGTGTTCCGAACTGATTTTCAGGGGCTGGGTAAATGAAAACTCAGATTCCTCCTATCTATAGCAAATAATGCCAATAACACTTTTAAAACTAAAGGGAAGAAGAGGAAGGATGCTGTAGGAAGAAAAAAATCAAGTCTATTTCTTCAAGGATCATAAGTGGGCAAATTGTGACTTTATTGTTCCTGTATAACAATAGATGTATTCTCCTGATAGCTTCTAGGCCAGCATTCCTCAACCTTTCCGGATTTGCGGACCAACAAGGGGGGAGGCTTCCATGTGATAATGGTTCCATGTGAGTGGCGGATAAGCACCCATGCACGCAGCTCCATTTAGGCAAGCAGCAGTATGCCCCCCACTTGCCCAAATGGAGCTTTGTGTGAACACACGTTCGCGCTCCTTGTGCAAATAGGGATGTGTGCGCTTGCCCACCACTTCCACAGCCCAGTAGTGGGACACAGCCCGGGGGGTTGGGGACCTGTGTTCTAGACTATTAGAAGTAATCTGTTGAGTTTTTCAACTTTGCAAATTCCATTTTTTGATTATAAATTTATTTTAGTTTTAGAAGGGCATGATAGTCAGGATTTTATATCTCACTCCCAGGGTACCCAGTGTTACATTCTTAGTGACTGCCTACATCTGCTTTGGTTCCCATCAGGTCCCTACTCAGTGGATTTGTTTATTTTTTAATGTTCTAAACAATGAGAAGCTAGAATGTTGCAAAGCAAAGTACCTAAAATAGCCTGAGTGGGTAGACAGATATAAAATGTTTCTGTCTATATTATATGTATATACTGGCTTTCGTCTAGCAGCTCAAGGTAATGTATATTAGCATTCCTACTCTTTTTTTTTCTTTGCAATAACAACCGTATGAGGTTGTGTGGCTTGAGAAAGAGCAACTAGCCCTAAATTATCCAGTGAGCTTCCATGGCTGCAGGTGGACCTGACTAGGGACGGCCCCACACTGATTCCCCAAGGAATTTTCTAGAAAACAAAATAATGGCTGCAGTCTGATGCTTGGAAGCATGTACACTTACATAGAAGGTGCCCCCAGAAAGCATTTTGGGAAGATTGATAGAGAATAATCTTACTAGTTTTCTCCTAGTAAATAATTTTTAAATTGACGATATCCATCATAACAACTATTTTCACAGAACGCTCATTACGTGTCATGAAAATTCCAGAAGCTCTTCTTTATGTGATAGGTAGACAAATATTATTATTATTATTATTATTATTATTATTATTATTATTATTATTATTATTATTATTATTATTATTATTATTATTATTTATTAAATTTATATACCGCCCTATCTCCCTTGCGGGACTCAGGGCGGTGAACAGGCGATACTAAAACCACGATAATAAATAAATAATTTCTGTTTTAAAATCGAATTAAATAACAGGCCTGTTCTAATAGAGTTTTAGAAGACTACTGTATACTATTTCCAAATTCTACTTATTAAAGAGAAACAAAAAGAAAATTTTTATTTCTCTTATGTCCTGCCTCTACTCTTCCCAGAGGCATTGGTTGAGATCAGATAGTACAATATGCATGCCACATTTGAGAAAATTAAGATAGAAGCTAGGAAGGAGTTAATCAGCAAACTGATTCCTACACAACACAGCATGGCACAGAAACATCCTTCAATACTCAACCCTACCATAGGTTGGCATGGTTCCCATTAGTGAGGATACCCGTTCTTTGCTAATTAAATTTTTATTGGGGATGCCAGCACCTTAAGATGATTTATTAAGAGGATTAGATATATCCATGGACCCACAAAATCTGGCACTGATCTTGGGCAAGACACTTCTTTAGATGTTTCTTAAGTATCATGACATAATGCTTGTATTATAATATTTAAATATCTACAAGCTGAACAATTATTAATATAACTTAACACTGTATTAAAAGGCTGCCTTTTAATGCTGCCTTATGTGTAAATTGGAAAGATGGAGCTGGGGTTGGGTTCTAAGGAGCTGAGCCAAAGATGGCAAAAGGCACTATAAAGTTTCTTCATTGTAAATTTCCACAGTATATTGATTAAAATTAGGAATTTTCAGATTGCTGGAAGTTGACTCAAAGAACAATTCAGTATTGTTACATTATAAGCACCCTGATTTTTCTTTCAGGAAAGAATTGTAGAATTGCTTTTATATTTGATATAAAAATGTCATTTAGAACAGGACTGAAGGCAAGCATATGTGTTATTATGAGTAATGAAGAAACTATTATGAGAAGGCATTTCTTGGCCATAAATATACTAGCCCTTCAGATGTTCTAGCACGTTAATGAAAAATATACTACTTACAAAAAAAAACTGAGGTCATACAGTAACTGCAGAGAGAAACGGTGACTGCAGAGATAATGTGCTATTAAATAAGATTTGTGAGAGTAGTTTGATTTCCTTTGGAATGATTCTGTTGGGTAGAATCCAGTGAACCTCTTATGTCAGCAGAAGTAGGCAATTTCACCTTTCTCTGAAGCTTTTCCAATTCTTTTTCAACCAATTAGGGAATATTCCTGCACAGATGTATTGGGGGGGGTGCTCATGGGGTGGTGCATATAATGGAAATTAGTGCATTAACTCTATTTTCATAGAGCTCACTTCACAAAATGACCCATCTTAGAGACATAAGAGAATACATATGCTTGCACACACACACACACTCTCTCTCTCTCTCTCTCTAATCATATAAGACCCCTACGCAAATGCAGTGTAACTGACCCAATTATGAACACTTTGTAGAGCATCAAATACAGCTTAAGGAGCACTATTATGATCATTATACAATAAAGTTTTATGGACCTCTGTCATACCCCCCACACAACATTTTGTTTTAAAGCTTCTGATGATGACTTGAAGACATTGTGAGTCATAACAAATGCAGCCTCTTCACAGCAGCTGCAGTCAGTCTCCCTTAAACCTGTCTTATACAGCTATTCCAGATGGTACCTAGCATAAATAAGGTGCACGCATGTAAATCACTTGTAGCCAATATTCCTTTTACGGCTCAAGTATGATTTATTGCACATTTTGTGTTTGTAATTAAGGGGCAGAACAGATGGTGAATGCTTAATTTAAAATGCTTTACTTATGAAAATAATCTTTGCCTCTGCATATTTATTGATGTTACCTGGGGATTTCCTCAACATTTTCCTCCTTGATTCTAAAATCTTTCATTCTGTCTTTCTATGTTCTCTTTTACACTCTCAATTGTTCTTAATGTCCCTGTAGATTGTTCAAAGCCTTTGCCAAATAAAACCTTGGACAATGGATGTGATCTGCTACTGTTGGCTACAGCAATAACATGACAAGCATGACTTTTAAAAGCTATCTTTATTATTTGATAATTATATTCTGCCTTTTCTCAGGCATGCCACCAATGCATAGAGCACTCTAAACTTGTGTTTTTCTCTAGAAACTCCCCCCTCCCCCCCCCAAAAAATTAAGTAAGTTGGACAGAGATTGCCTTCACATTAAATAGTGGGCTTCTATTATTGAGGGCAAAACTAAACCTAAATTAGCTATATTGCAAAAGAGTTCCATAGACCAGGGCTTTTC